TAACCTCCTCGAGATTCGCCGCCTATAGGAAGCCCTAACAACTACTACTAGACTAGAACCGGTAGCAGGACCTTCTATTTAAAAGAAGGATGCTAAGCTTAAGGACTATACCGTATTTAATAGCTCTAGCCGCAAGCAGTACAATAATTGTATACGTAACTATAAATTGAACTAGCGGAATGCACTAAGAGCCCTGCTAGACGACTATTCGCTAGTCGTCTGTACTATACAATACATTAATAGAGACCTAAAGCGTACCTAGGATAACCACTTTAACTCCCTTACTAATCAGACCGCTGTTTAGTAGCAGACCTACAAAACCATTATGCTAGACACCCTTAGAAACCCTATACTAAGGCAATAATACGCTTAGGACTAGTACCTTCGAGCTAAACAAAAGACTAATTAATCGGCTCGCTTATTTAAGGCCTATTTAAAGACCCTCGAACACGACCTCCCGACTAAAACTAATTCTATCTAGATCTCCGAAATACGCCCTAAATTGAGATAGGAATTAGTCCTTAAATTAAACCGCCGCCGTGTGTTTAAACAGGCTAATCTTATACGCATTTAATTTATAGTTAAAGTAGAAATAGCTAAACGAGCTATCTAGCTTTAGTAACGACTAGAATCGAGGATCCGACTAGCTAGTACTAACTATAGCAACCGTAGCCGCGGAGGAAACTAAGGCTCCTACTAAGACAACAATGCTAACAATAGGAATAGTAACGATCGTAGAAGAGGCCGTAGCCGGCGGCTATATAGAGGAGGCCGCGATAGGGGCCGTAGAAGGGGCTCGTATCCCTATAATACTAACCGCTCGACTAATAATAGTAGCAATAATAGCTATAGCAACAATCTCCCGACCGGATTGAAGTGCTTCAACTGTAATAGTACTAGCTATCTACTAGGCTAATGCGATAAACCTAAGAACTAGGCCCGAATCGACCGTACTACCGCTAAGCACCGTAAGTACCTTTTAGCCGCTAATGCTACCCCTATCGGTCCTTCGAAAAAAGAGTAAGCGCCGCACTAACTATTAGCCTCGTACGGCGTAAGACTATCGATATTGTACTAGCTATAATACGCTCCTACCTTGTATAGGATACGAAGGGCACTAGCTATTAAACTAAGGTTATACTAGATCTAGGAAATTCAGTTAGTGCCCTTATTAGCTATCGCCTAGCTAAGTAATTAGACCTTCGACAACTGCCGAGGACTAACCTGCCAACCCTTGCTTAGTTTAATAACGCTCGGCACTTAACCTATAGGGCCTACTATATTCCTATAGCTCTAAAGGACGACCTCGGAAATAAACGCCTACTAGACTTTACTACCTACGTAGTAGATATAGACTACCTGTATAGGGGAGCTACTATTGTTATTAGCAACCCTATTCTTAAGCACTATGCTATAGTTATAGACTTAGGCAGTTAATAATAGCGATTTAGGATCGCTAGGAGAGAGGACATTAAATATATCGATATTAGCGAGTATCCTAATAATATTAGGGTCCTGTTTATTAGCAACCTAACACCTGCCTTAGCTAATCCGATAGCTAATCTTCTCGGTAGAGATAAC